CATGAACATGAATCAAATGTGTACTTTATTCATTTACAATAAATTCATAATGTACATAATTCTGATTGAAGCTAAGGGCATACAACTGTCTAACACACAAGCCATCCAATTACAATATAATTTTCTTGCATCCATTTTTCATAGGATGGATCATCTTCTGAGGGAGCCTTTGTGCTCTCCGAGATATAACCCCATTTGCCTCTACTGCAGATATGAATTTTTACTGATTATGACCAAACCAGATAATTTGTTCCATCTAGCTTGACTCATAGCCAGTAAAGAGTCAACAAAGGCTCCCAAAACCTGTCCGGATTCAGCAACATGCTTGTTTTCAACTTCTGAAGGGTCCATCTTCTTAAATACTTCGAAAATAATTTCTAATAACTTTGAATAACAATCAATGAAGACAGAAGAAAAACTGTGTTGTGAATCAATCTCTATGCAGCCATACCTGCTAACTGCATCACACTCGGAACCCGGGAGAAATAGAGAAAACTCAGCCGCACCTTGTAGACTTCACAGAACACCAAGCAACTTGAATCGATCTTCAAGATGAAGAACAAGAGGTCTTTCAGTCACTAAGCACCCAGGTCAACCCCCTATGGGGCCCGCAATCAGATTTCTCCAGAAAATTAGGGTTTCAGGCAAAACACTTGAAGCTGTCAGGAGGACGACAAAAGCTGTCTCCTCTCCAGAAACCACTAACAACTGGGCTGAAACAGGTTTCTTTAACTACTCATCCGATTCAGTTCTCCATACACACTGTGTATGGGAAAAAAGAGGTGAAAAAGAGAAGAAGAAGAAGAGCCCGCTCTCATACCAAAAAGAAAAACAACCTTTTGAAATGAAAGGATTGTTCAAAATATTGCAGAGAATCAATTGAGAGTAGCAGAAATCAGGTTTCAAGAAGAGAGAAGAGGAAGAAGAAGATGGCAGCAATAAGGGTTCAAAGAGAGATTTCGAACATAATCTCCTCTTACAGCTCTAATCCTATTTCACTAACTTAAACTTTAGTAATTTATAGAGAGGTCCCTGGTTGGGCAGATAATTAAAAGCATAACATAAGAGAAAAAAAGGCCCAAATTGAGGCCCATTACAGCAAAGAACATAAAAAGATAAAATAAGACAAACAGCCTATGGGACATTTGGCCCATCTTCTCTACTGAAGGGTTTGCTAATTTATCAAAATACTAATAGGTTTTGTTTGCATCTGATCTTTATTACCTTCAAACATGAAGCATTTTGTGTGTTAAAGTTCTTATTGATTTTAATGAATATTTTCCCATCTACTTGCAATATTTGCTATTAATAACCTTTTTATTGCTAAAATTTTGGCTGCATCTGTTTAGTTCTGTTCTTTTTTAGTATCCATATTATTTAAATACATTGCCTTGTTAGTCACGATTTTTACTGAAAACATTTGCCTGTAATTGTTTTATTTCACACCAACATTGCAAAGTTAAAGGTATTGTTATTAGTTTTGTTGACTTGATTAGTTTGTTAGGAACTTAAGCTCATGAGATATTGTGAACATGTCTGGAACAGGTCAGCATAATGTTTGTGACTCTGGAGAAAATTGCGCAAGCTGATTTAAAGTACGCAGACGTTGTGCTTTTAGAGAACTATGCAGCCTTCCAGAACAGGTAATTAAGAAAGCTTAGCTCTTCATTTTTCTTTCTCATGCTGTCTAACTTTCAGGTTTCTTGAACAATTTTGTATTAACTTTTCAAATTAACATGTTAATTTTGCTGATTAGAACAATTCCCATGCAGCCTCTATGACCTAGCTAATGTTGTGCCCACGCTTGCAAAGTTCTATCACCAGGCAAGTGAATCTTATGAACAAGCCTGCACACGCCATATCAACATGATTATATATATAGTAAGTAATTGCTTTTTCATTTATTTCTCCATTTGACTATTAGAAGTAACACTATGAATCTTTATCTTTTTTTCTTAGGATAATGTTGAACTTAATAAAAAAAAAAAGAGGGTATAGATCTTCATGAATTTTGTTCTTTGCAGCAATTTGAGAGACTCTTCCAATTTGCTCGAAGAGTTGAGGATTTCATGTTCACACTGGCACCAGAGGAGGTTGGTAAAGTAATAGATAAACATGATGCAATGTCTTTATATTATCTTAGTAGAAGTTGCTGATAACAATTTTAGATGAATGCCTTGTGAAGAAAAGTAGAAGTTGAAAGGTTTCAGCAGTAGAGAAGAAGAGAGGACAAGAAAAGAGAGTGGGATGTTGCCAAAATTTAATTGGTCTGGCCGCCAACCCCTCATTGTATTATATACTTAAAATAAAATAATGAGAGATTACAAGAATGCCCTTACTAGGGAGGCTACTTTAAGTAGCTGAATAGTCACAACTTAACAACATAAACTAATGGGCTTAAAGCCCAATAACTTCCTAACTTAACAACTTAAAAATAAAAAATAAAAGACTAAGCTCAATAACTTGAAATAGGCCCAACTCAACACTCCCCCTCAAGTTGGGAGTAAATGTCATACATTCCCAACTTGCGTAGATCATGCTCCAGCTTATTCCTTGCAACACCTTTTGTGAGGACATCAGCAAGTTGTAGATCAGAAGCAATGTATGGAAGATAAACTTCCCCTAAAGTCACCATTTCTCTTATAAAATGTCTATCCACTTCAATGTGCTTTGTTCTGTAATGCTGAATTGGGTTGTGGGCAATGTTAATTGTTGCCTGATTATCACAGTACAGCATCATAGGTTCTTCTACCTCAACACCAATCTCTCCTAAAATGGAGTGGATCCAAAGAAGTTATGAAATTCCATGTGTCATGGCTCTATATTCAGCTTCTGCACTTGATCTTGCCACACCAGTTTGTTTCTTATTTTTCCATGAGACTAGATTACTCCCAACAAGAGTGCAAACTCCTGATGTAGATCTCCTGTCATCAAAGCATCTTGCCCAATCAGCATCAGTATAAGCCTTTAGCTTCAACTATCCATGGTCAGCAAATAGTATGCCTCTGCCTGGGTGTCCCTTTAGATAAGCAAGAATCCTATCAACAGCCTCCCAATGCTAGACTTGGGGCATGCATATATTGACTCACCACACTCATTGTATAGGAGATATCTAGTCTTGTCATACATAAATATAGCAATCGCCCCACATGTCTCTGATATCTCCCAATGTCCTTTACCAACTCACCTTCTAATGCATTAATTTTGTGATTCTGATCAATAGGAGTACTAGCAGCCTTTGCTCCAAGCTTCCTTGTTTCTTGTAAAAGGTCCAAAACATACTTCCTCTAAGAAATAAAAATTCCACGTTTTGATCTTGCAACTTCAATGCCCAAGAAGTACCTCAACTCCCCAAGATCCTTAATTTCAAATTCTCTGTGTAGATTCTTCTTCAAGCTGTCAATATCACTTAGGTCATTTCCTGTGACAACAATATCATCAACATAAACAATCAGGACTGACACCAAGGACCCCCTCCACTTTACAATCAAAGTATGGCCTGGTTGAGTCTGAGTGTAGCCAAAAGCAATCAAGGCCTTCCTGAACCTGTCAAACCATGCTCTAGGAGACTATTTTAAACCATAAAGTGACTTCTTTAGTCTGCATACCCTCCCCTTTTCAGCATCACTGTAGAAACCAATAGGAAGATCCATATACACTTTGCAAATCTCCATTCAGAAAAGAATTTTTCACACCAAGTTGAAACAGGGGCCAAGAGTATGTGGCAATAAGAGAGAGAAGGATCGGAATAGAAGTCATCTTTGCAACTGGTGAAAAGGTCTCTAAGTAATCAATGCCATAAGTTTGGGTGTACCCTTTTGCAACCAATCTGGCCTTATACCTTTCTATACTTCCATCTGCCTTGTATTTAACTATATAAACCCATCTACATCCAACAATCTCCTTTCCCTCTAATAGATCCACAATTTCCCATGTTTGATTCTTAATTAAGGTTTCCATCTCTTCCTACATAATTGTCTTCCACTTAGGTTTGGAGAGAGCCTCACTAACACCCTTGGGTATAGACACAAAATCAAAAGAAGAAAGGAAAGCATGATAGGAAGGAGAAAGTCCACTGTAGGATAGGTACTGTGAAATACAATGAGCAGTACACTTTCTCTTCCCTTTTCTAAGAGCAATAGGAAGGTCCAGGTCATCTGTAATGGGATTAGTAGAATCAATAGGAATTGAAACATTAGAAGGATCAAGAGGAATACTTGAATCCATGTCAGGTGAATCTAGAGTCTCCAACGAACCGATAAGAAGTGATGTGAGTTCTTGTGCAGTGGAATCAACCTCCCTGTGAAGTCGTTGTCGTGAGTAACACTGAGAAGCAGGACGCAAATGAGGTGGTGAGATAGGTGACATAGGAGGATCAAACACAAGAGTGGACACAAGAACTGTAACTGGAAGAGGAATAAACTACTCACTCACTTCTCCAAAACACTCCCCCTGAGAAGGATCCTTCAAGAAAAAGGATGTGGACTCAAAAAAGGTGACATCCATAGTAACATACTTACTCCTAGAGACTGGATCATAGCAGCAGCACCCTTTCTGATTTTCTGCATACCCAAGAAAAACACACTTCTTTGCCTTTGGATCGAGCTTCGAGCGGTGAGGACCAAGAACATGTGCAAAGCAAACACACCCAAACACCTTGAGAGGAATGTGGAACATCTCCCCTGAGGAAAAAGGAGGCTGAATGGGGTGCAGAATCCAAGTATACGAGAGGGCACCCTATTAATCAGGAAGACTATTGTGAGAACTGCATCACCCAAAAACCGAACTGGAATAGTAGATGTGATCATCATGCTTCTTGCAATCTCAACAATGTGTCTGTTCTTCCTCTCTACAACACCATTCTGTTGTGGACTATAAGAACAATTGCTCTGATGGATAACTCCATACTCTAGCAAATACGAAGCAAGGTTCTTTTCAAAATATTCCCTAGCATTGTTTGATCTGAACACCATCACTCGTACCCCAAACTGTGTTAGTACCATCTGATGAATTTGCCGAACCAAGGATGGTGCCTCATCACAAGATCTCATTAAGTAAATCCAAGAATACTAAGAAAAATCACCCACAAACAAAAGGAAATATCGATAGCTACCTATAGAAGGAACATGGTATGGTCCCCACACATCAGAATGAATAACATCAAAAGCAGATGAACACCTTTTATTACTAGCTTTAAAGTAATGTCTACAATGTTTTCCAAGCTGACAACCTTCACACTCTAAACTGGACAAATTAACCGACTCAAATAGCTTTGGAAATAAGAAACGTAAAGAAGAAAAAGACAAATGACCCAAACGATTATGCCAAAGCATAATCTAACATAGACTCTGACTCAATATCCCTGCTAACATGATGACCCTGATGATGAGGAAGCGCATCCAGAAGGTAGATTCCAATCACTTCACGACCACTCCCAATCATCCTCTTTGAATCCAAATCCTACAAAACACAATGACTAGGAGAAAAAATCACTGAGCAATTCAAGTTCTTAGTCAAACTACTAACAGATAACAAGTTAGTACTCAATCCAGGAACATGAAGGACAGAGGGTAAGGAAATGGAATCAGTAATCTTGACAGACCCCTTCCCAACAATGGGAACATGAGATCCATCGGCTATGGAGACTCTGTCTCTATCAGAACAAAGTTGGTAAGAGGAGAAAAGAGTAGAACTATAGGTCATGTGCTCTGAGGCTCCAGAATCTATAATCAAAGGTCTTACTTGTAGTGGAAACATAGTTTGCAGTGGCATGCGAACTACCTGTATGAGCAAAGGAAGTAGAATGTGCTCCACCAGAACCACCTGTACCTAGCTGTCCACCTGTTACTGGATTTGGGCTGAATGTATCTTGCTGATTTAGGAACTGCCTATATCTCTCAAGTTCGGCCCTCACTGTAGCAGTTGCAACAGACTCCAAAGTAGTTGTAGTAGGGGGCTCGGGTATGTCACTAGTGACAGTCATGTTAGCATTTCCCTTCTTATTTTTAAGTCTATTTGGCACAAGATGGGGATGAAGCTCCCAATAGGTATCTCTTGTGTGTTTAGGCTTCTTACAGTAATTACAAATCAAATCCCTCTTATCTTCCTTCTTAATTTCACTACCACCCCGGTCTCCACTCTGTTTAAGTTTCACAGTACTAACCATGGCTGATTGTACAAAACCGGAATTCTTCATCATCACATTCATTCTACTCTCTTCCCCTAATACAAAGGCATATGCCTGAGAAAGAGTAACACTATCCCTAGAAAGGATATGTTGCCTTGCAATATCATATTCGAGATTAAATCCAGCAAGAAATTCAAAGACCCTATACTTCTCTAAGAGCTTCTGGTAGGCAGCAGCGTCCTTAGTGGTTTCCCAAACAACTGTCTCCAGATGGTCAATCTCCTGCCACAGGGTTTTAAGGGTCGAGAAATAAACATCAATAGGTCTATCTCCCTGCCTGGTAGCAATAATTTGATTCCTCAACTAATAGGTTCTACTAACATTTTCACTCTGTGAGTAGGTTTCTACAACCCCATCCCATATTTCCTTAGTTGTATTTGCCCACAAAAAAAATTTTCTTATATGGGGCAGCATCAAATTACACAACCAAGTCATTACCATATAATTTTCCTACACCCACCGGGAGTTGTTTGTCCCGGGTTTCACTTCCTCACCAGTGATATACCTCAATTTCCCATGAGCACCAATGGCCATCTTTGCATATTGTGACCATTCTAAATAGTTTGTACCATCTAACTTAACTGTAGTGATGGTTCCAACCCCAAAAAGGTCTCCGACACCTCGTCCCACTAGTTCAATTTCATTATCGGTTTTGTTTTCAGCTCTGTTACCCTCCATAATCCTCAAAAAAGGGTTAGAAGGTCACTTTAAGATGAAAGAATATAAAATAAATCCCTTCAAATACCACAGACACCCGTCTGGTACCCCAGATGATCCTCCTACAAAAGACTCCCTTTCTATGGGATGGGAGAAGAGAGAGAAGAGGCAGACGCTCTCTCCAGAGACCCCCAAAAAAGGTAGGTCTTGAACCGCCCTCTTCACAAAGCTTTAAGGAACCCTAAAAAA